TTTTCCCCCAGATAGATAGATCGAAAGTAGAAATAACAAGAGAAAAACTACGAGGAACAATGAACTGGGAGCAAGGAGGAAAAAAAACTGGGAAAGAAGGACAATTGAGAGCAAGGTAACAGCTCTAAGCGAAAGTCGAAAGCGGCACGAGGCACAGCGAATGGTGGTCGCAAAGGCTGAACAAAATGGCGGACGCTCCGCTCTTTATAGGCCACAGGGGGAGGGGGAGCGGAGCTTCCCGCCAAAAACCGTTAGCTGTCAATCTTCCAGCCACAGGCACTGCGCAGGTGCAGTACCCATATGTGTGATGCACAGAGGCCAGGACGAAGAACCTTTGTTATTTCTAACAAGAGTAACACAGCTACCATTCCAGAACTATTCGTATTACAAAGAAAAATTAGGATCTCCATTTGCACACAAAAGGAAACATTTTCACACCAGCATAACAAGTGATATCTACACTTCAGATTAAACTCAATTCTAGAAAATGGTGCACCAGGAATAAAACTCCCAATTTTGTATGGCTGCTTTAAGGGCCGCTCAACAGTTGATGAAAAGAAATGTGATTGTTTTTAACAGCTATGCCATCCATTAGCCCCCCAAAAAAACCTTAAATATTATAAACATTATGCTTCTTCACATTCCTTCTAGCCAGAACAATATCTCCCCCTCTCTCTCACTCCCCCCCAAAACACAAGTATACAAGAATAGAACAAAGACAGAAAATTCATGAGACTGTTTTCTCACTGCAAAATGAAATTCTTCCAGTTACCCAAGGTGGAGGTGGTGGCCTGCCTATTTTCCTTGGACATACTAAAATCAAGTTTGCCAGAAATAGGGCAGTAATACAGATGACTGTATGCAGGTGTATACATGTGTATATACAGGTGTATATATGGATGCAGGTGGCGCAGTGGTTTAAACCACTGCGCTGCTAGGCTGGTTGATCAAAAGGTTGCCGGTTCAAATCTGCACAATGGAGTGAGTTCCCGTTGCTCCATCCCAGCTCCTGCCAATCTTGCAGTTCAAAAGCATGCAAATGCAAGTAGATAAAAAGGTACCCCTTCGGTGGGCAGGTAACAGCGTTCCGTGCACTTCGGTGTTGAGTCATGCCGGCCACATGACCACGGAGACTGTCTGCGGACAAACGCTGGCTCCCTCGGCCAGGAAACAGAGATGAGCACCGCCCCCTAGAGTCAGGTATGACTGGACGTAACGTCAAGGGGAAACCTTTACCTTTTACCTTACAGAGGACTGCAAAGAGCATGCAAAATGCTCTTATGCATGCATGATTACAGAAGGTGGAAATCCTCTGCAAATTCTAAGGTACTCAATATGGTTTTTTATTTGTATGTTCTCCTGGAGAAAAGAAAACAGTGAGCTGAGTTCCACGGCCATAATTTAAGAACCCAGCATTAAACTTCATCTATCAAATCCAGCTGTAGCTAAAAGATTTTCCCAGACAAATACCCACGTAAAATAAATAAATAGATAAATATTTAGTTTGTGAGTGATAGACCTGCTTACAATTCACTCCAACATCACCATGCAGTATCTAACCAGATATAAATTTCAGCATTCACTTCTGTTATATTACAAACCTTCAAGGTTTCAGTATTGAAGCAAATATAATCTGTGCTGCAGCATCATAATTACATAAACTTTAGATATGATCTTGCAGTTTATTCCCTTAGATACTAAACAAATTAAAAGCAATTTGTGAAATCATGACTTGGTTTGCACAAAACTACTCCAAAGCATGGCTTGTTCCTTTACTCAGAATTTACTCATGATCTGTCTGCCAGATGATTGCACAAAATGCAGGTTGTTCATTCAGTTCCTGAGCTGTTTGATTCCTTCTCCTTTGCCTGCTACCTCCTTGTATTCCAAATGTCTTTGCAGTGCTGCAGTACTGCCATGTAGAGCAGTCACTTTAAAACGGGTGGGGGGAACCAATGCTTGCCCACAGCCTTTGTAGCCTGGCAAAACAATCCACTGTTCTGTGTTTGCATGTAATGGCAACCCAGTGTTCATAACCCAACAACAAAGCAAGAGCTTTCTACTTAGGTGTTTCTGGTTAACCCATAGCTCTGAGTTTGCATATACAGACAACCTTGGATTCAATAACCACCTAGGGTTGTAATTACATGTTATTTATTTATTTATTTATTTATTTATTTATTTATTTAAACATTTCTATGCCGCCCCTTGCCGAAGACTCGGGGCGGCTAACAACACAATAAAATACAGTAAAATACAAAAATAACAATATAAAATTAAAATTAACAACATAAAATAAATAAACAATATAAAAAAGTCACCCTGGCCAGATAAATAAGCAAATATTGTTAACAATTAAAATGACATTTAAATAAAAAGGTCTTCACCTGGTGCCGAAAAACAAATAACAACAGCGCCAGGCGGACCTCTCTGGGGAGCGCATTCCATAGATTGGGCGCCACCGCAGAGAAAGCCCTCCTCCGAGTACCTACCCTCCTAATTTCTTTCATGGAGGGTTCCCGGAGAAGGGCCTCTCCTGCAGATCTCGGGGAGCGGGCGGGCATATATGGACATAAGCGCTCCTTCAGGTAACCAGGACCCAAGCCGTTTAGGGCTTTATAGGTCATCACCAACACCCTGAATTGGGCCCGGACTTCAATGGGAAGCCAGTGAAGCTGACGGAGGACTGGAGTCATGTGAACATAATGCCCCGTCCCCGTCAGCAACCTGGCAGCTCTATTATTAATTCAGCTCCATATTTCCCCATGAAGGAATCCAGAAATTGGATTGGGGTGACAGCACCGGGGAAATTTGCCATTTTCCTCAGTGAAGTACTCTTTAAGTTGTGATTATTCCTCTGGCGCTGGGAGGGAGGGAGGCACAATATGAATAACTGTGTCTCTCTTCCTTGTACTCGTGATAATCTCAGCTTGCTGGGGGAATTTTTAGATTGGAAAAAAGGCATCAGAATCCCTTTCCCAGCACTGCTGCTAAACAGCCACATATTAAAACTTTTTTTTAGAAAAAACCCTCTACCATCGTGCAATCCAAACTGCTTTGGTCCAACAAAACAAATTAATTTTGGAAGTAGTGCCACTGAACACAGTAAAACAGTCATTTCTGCTGTAATCTTTTTCAGACAACAACAGTAACCTCATTGAGAAGGCAGCTGATGATGTGCCCTTAAGAATGGTTTGCCAAAGAAAGCAACCAAGGAATCAATACTTCATTCAGTCCCATAACACTTGCTTATTCTGAGTGAAAGCAGCAGAAGTGGTCTATTCACTTGCCAATCAAGTGATTGTAATGGAGGGTGGAAATATGGGCTTGTGTCCTCCAAGTCACATTCTAATCATTACACACCTCACTGGTTTCTGAGGTCACTTTCACACATGCACATCATCACTTGATGGCTGGAAAGCCACATCCACCCAAAAATAAAATAAAATAAAATAAAATAAAAACCTAACAAACAAACAACCAGACATCACAGATTTAGAGACAGAAAATATTCACATCACCACAAGAATAGCGAGTTGCAAAACTGACAGCAGCAAGCATAATCTCTCTCTGATGCTTCTATAAAAGATGCACCAAACAGGGCAAACCTTAAAATGTCAAAAGTAATGGGCAAAAGCAGCAGGGTCAATGGTACTGCACCAGCTTTTACCTACTATACTGCTGCTTAGGAGCTTAAACTAGTATCTAAGCAGCCATTAAACAGCAAGAGTTTTTTCAAACATTACCTTGCATGCTTTCATTTTTTCCTACAGAAGTTCCTCTTCACCCAGTTTGCCAGAATCAACTATTACCACGATCAACTATG